CTAGCACCTACGTACTAGCAGTTTTTCAGACTGATGAAGAGCAACAGCGTCTGCACTGTAAAGTTTTGCGCAGCAATGTACATGCCTTGATTCTTTTGGGCAAAGATGGATAGTATATAGATTCAATTGGTATACTGGATGATATATACTGTATGCTACTATGGCTGTGCAATAGATTGATGCAGAGGCCGGTGGTAGCTCCTTCATTCTCTGAAAACAAACAGATTGTGTACTGCCAGGGAAGTTCATAGTTCAAATTCGAACTAAAACCAGGCCAAGTATTTCCGAACGGAGGTAGTAGTATATTTGTGTTTGTAGCCTGTTCGGCATAAGAGCTCGCATCAATTCAAGTGCATTTCTTTTCCTTGCCTGTCTGTCTGTTATTATCTGTGCTCGGCTCAGTACATGGAATTAAAAAGTGCTTTCAGGATCACATAGCTGATTCCAAAGGAAGTGCTGTTTGTGAGCTGCTGAATTCAGTGCTCTGCAGACTGCATCCTTCTCCTTCAGTTAATAAGGTAGATAACATTGCAGCTGTTGTAGCAAGGAAGGAGTGACAGTGTGCTTCTGAAACTACGTCGTGGTTCCCCCCAAGCCTAATCACTGCTTCCTGGTTTTGCAAGCACCAGTAGCACCCTGTGGTTGGTGCTGGTGATCTGGAAAATTACCCTGATGAATGTCTGAAGTGAAGTGATTGAGCTATATTTGATTCTTAACCTGACTTTTCCTCCACTATTAACACTTCAGTCTGAGATTTTTGCTGTGAGGTTTCATATGATTTTGAGACAACTGAGTCCCATTATCTGCTGGATTGTTTTGTCTCTGTTTCTATGTTCAACTATCCACTCTGAATTTCATTGCAAGGGAGAAATATCCTGTCTCTGTTGGATTGAGCTATATTTTTACAAGTGGATGCTGACAAGATAAAGAGCTTAATTTTTGGGGTGGTTCATGATGTTAATATCTCGCGCACCCCTGTCATAATCTTCAGAGCTTCTAGCGGCTCACAATGGGTTCAGATATTATTCTGAAGTCTATTTATTGTCCTCTTTTCACCCGTCTAGTCCTAACAAGGTACGTACATCATTGGCGCTTCACCATAAAGCACTTGTTGAAATTTCCTCCCAGATACTTTCAGCAGATTTAACACTGAGATTAAGACATGTCGATCATAAAGTAGAAAATGACATACTTGAAAATAAACAACATGTTTTCTGATGTTGGGTCCTATATATCCTCGCAAACATTCCTCTGTATGAGCATACCAAAGAATCTCCTATTTTATACCTATTAGTGAAGAGCTTTCATTCTCACCTGCAGCATAATCTACTTATGCGCACAAATGTATGGGAATATTTTTGAATTTGGGTTTGCTCTTCAGAGAAAATAAACAAATACTCTAATGAATTGTTTGTTATGTCACTGACTGTCATATTAATATAGACTCGGTTTTTCTTTTTATTAGTGCAAGTATATCTTTGGTACATTCCTGAGTGTTATATAAAGCTAGGCTAGTTATTTTCTGTAGGGAATATAAAGGTGCTGTCTACCGCAACGTCAACTCAGGAGGCTAAGATATTTTCGAAAAATGGCTTGAAGATTTTGTTTTTAAACAGCTACTCTACATATATTGTCTGTTTATTGACTTCAGAGGCTTCTGTGGTTGTCCACAAAGCTTTATGATGGTCTGGTCACTAGGAAATGAAACGCAGGAAACAGATAGGCTTGCTCTGTTGGTACTAGGTACCATATCAAGAAAATAAAATTATAATCATTTCTCGAGAATCGAAATGCTTTTAGGCCGTATATAACTGTTATCCCTTCGACCATGCAAGCATTTATCATCGGTCAAATAAGGTTAGCTCCAGATCAAGTCTGCAATATTATTTCATGACCAAGCCTGCAGTTTGCTTATTGCTGAAAACTGAATATTTAGAATAATTCCGTAAAAAAGATCCATCAAGCTCCACCGATTGATGTATCCTTTTCTGAACTATTTCTCCTGGTTGGTCAATCTACTGTACTTCTTGTGTCTGTATTCAGTCAAACTTTGCTTACTTTACTGCCTATCAGGAGGTGATCATTCTCCTTCTCTTTTTTTTTTGCGAGATATTCTCCTTTTCTTCTGAGGACCATATCTTGCTGGGCCACCCAAAACCTTTTGAAATTAAGATATGTATCCCATATTGGATCCTACTCCTTCAGCTATAGTCCATGCGGAACCATAACCTGAACAAGGGCAGATAGCACTGCAGTTTCTGTAGCAGGGGAGGAGTGGCAGTCCTTCTGAAACTAAACTTTTTCACTCAGGGCTGATTGCTGGTTCCTGGTTTATTAAGCACCAGCAGCCTTGAGATTGGTGGTGATCTGAAAACCTACCTTGATGAAGGGATGGTATCTCGAGTGAATTGATTGAGGTGTATTTGATGCTCGAAGCAACCTTTCCTCCACGATTAACATTTCAGTCTCTTGAGATTTTTGCTGTGAGGTTTCATATGGTTTTGAGACAACTGAGTCCCATTTCCTGCTGGATTTTCTTGTCTCTATTCCTATGTTCAATCAACCACTCTGAGAAATATCTTGGCTCTCTAGGTTGATATTCACATCCTTCCCTTTGTCTGCAAGAGAGATATTGACATGCCTTCTAGATATCGTGCCCGAAACAGTGAAACTGTGCAAGCTGATTCGACGCACGGTTGGTAACTCGGTACAAGTGGACGCTGACACGATAAAGAGACTGATTTCTCAGGGTGGTCCATTGATGCTTCTTAATAGCGCGCCCCTGTCATAATCTTCAGAGCTTTTGACGGCTCGCAACGGGTCAAGATATTATTTTTGAAATTCTATTTATCGTCATCTTTTCATCCCTTCAGTACAAACAAGGTACATCACTGGCACTTCAACCATAAAGCACAGGCTGGAAAATATTTGCACCGTCGAAATTTCCTCGCAGATGCTTTAAGCAGATTTAACACTGAGACTGAGACAGGTTGATCGTTAAGTAGAAAATGACGTTACTTGTAAGTAGACACCACTTTTGCTTAACTTGGTTCTCTGTTTTCTTTATGGAATAGATGTTTTCTGCTGTTGGCCTTCATATACTTTGGAAACAATTACCTGTCTGAGAATACTGAGGAATCTGCTATTGTAGATCTATCAGTGAACTTCATGCTGCCAAGCTGCTGCATAATCTACCGGCACGAACAATCGTATGAGAACATCTTCGGAATTTAAGTTTCGTCTTCAGCGAAAGTAAGCAAATACTCTGAAGAATTCTTTGTTATGTCACTGTTATGTTAATCTAGACCTGGGTTTGATTTTTATTAGTGTAAGTATTTCTGTGGGTACGTTCTTGACTGATCTATAAAGCTAGACCAGATATTTTCTGTAGGTAATACGCACGTGCTATTACTGCAACATCAACTTTAGCAGGCGTATTCCTAGCAACTTTTACTTAAGATATTTTGGAAAATATACCTCCAAAAGAAAAAAAGGAGCTACCAATATTGTTTGTCTATAATTTATTTCACAAGCTTGCCTACGAAAAGAAATGCAGGAAACAACTAGGCTTGCTGTGCTGGTACCATATGAAGGAGCAGAAAACTTTAACCACCTCTCAGGCATCGATCTGCTTTTTGAACATATATTGTTGTCATCTCTCTGGCTGTGCAAGGATTTATAGTGACAACTGATTACCTCACGTAAAAAGATCTATTAAGCTTTACTTGTCAATATATGCTTTTATGAAGCCTAAAGTCTTACTTGGAGCCTTGGGTTTTGTTTGTCTCCTTGCATTTTGTTCGCTTCATATCATATCCATTATGGATGCTTATTACCAATAGCTTTTTCGTGAGGTGTGACTGCCTGACTGGTTATGGTCAATCTACTGTATACTTGTTCTGTCGGTATTCTGTCAAACCTTTCTTGCTTTACCGAGCCATTTAAAACTTTTCTTTGTGGGCTCTCAGTAGGTGATCATTCTCCTTCCTTCTGACGACCTTATCTTAGTGGGTCATCCAAAACCTTTTCAAATTAAGATATATATCACATACTCTGTATATACATTATCAATTTTTGCTTTCCTCAAGAACTGTTCATACATCATGCGTTTATTTTTTTACAGTCACACATCATGAGTGTCCATGGTCAGCATGGTTACGTGCACCGGTCGTCTTTATTTACCAGGGACAAGGGGTAAATCCTTACTGTCGGCAACTGGATATATCCGCCTTATATTGTCAAAATTATTCAAATAAAAACTGAAAATTGTCAAAATTGAGTAAAAATGTTGAATTTGCCCAAACGTTATTGCTCAAATGTTTGATTACCCGAAACATCCTTTTAGAGGGATTTCTATGTTTGTAGACATAAAAAATCTACTTTCTTTTCGGCTCTTTGTTGTTAGACAGATTGATTAGTTGTTCAAAGTGGACAATAGGATGTCACAATTAATTCAGGAAAGTGCACTCACGGACAGGATAGGTTAAGAACATAAGATTTTGATTATCCTTACTAGCTTATGACAATCATGGAAATTGCTTGAGTAATGTGTAAGTTCAAAGAAGGTAATTATATACATCATTTACATCTCAAACCACTCACACAAAAAAAGGATCCCAAAACCCTCAGAGAAGTAGAAAGCTAGTCCTGACTCCTGAGTACCTAGAAGAGGTGATAAAATCTTACATACTTAGGATACAGCATGTGACAAGAAGAGGCAATAAATTTCTAATAAAAATAAACAGTGTTTTGTACACAGGAAGGAACATGAGCAGCACGATTCGTGAGAGATATAAATCAACCAATGCATAGCGCACTAGTTGACCGACAACACTGCAAAAAATATGCAGCACAAGTATACTATAAAGCTGGTTGTCACCTTGTCATCAGAACCACTCTCTCTATCCACAAGCAAAAGGCAAAAGAATATGATGCTCATCACGTCCTCATCATCTATTCATCTTAGTTAATTAATTGTACTCGCTCCAACCGCGTCTTGGCTAGAGTGACGACACAAGCAAGGCCACGGCCGCCGCCGCCAGCGCGGCCCGGAGCGCCGCCGCCGCCGCCGTCCTGTCCGCGGCGGCGTCGCTCTCGCCGGTCGCCAGGCTTGCCAGCCATGTGTCCGCCGCAACCTGCGCGCCGGCGACCACGTCGCCCGGCCTCGGCAACGGGTCGTTGCTTGACTTGAGGCTGCAAAAGAGAAGCGTCAGGCCGTCAGCACAGGTCTGATCAGAATGTACGTAGTTGGGATTTTGATGGTAGTTGCATGATCACACGTGCAGTTTTCTTTTCTTTTTTTCCAGCTGGGCTTGGGCTGCTTTCAACGCGACATGCACTATCCCGGGCGGTGACTGGCAGGTGACCATGCGTACGTGGTGGGGATGGAACAAAGGCGATGCTTTTCTCTGATCGCTGCTTCTTTTTTGTCACGCGCAAAAGAGAATGCGTTTTCTGATGAAGTGGTGTGCGAGATGAGATGCTCGACCGATCGATCATGTCATGTGCATTCTCCGGCGATCGTACCTGCTGCTGGAGGTGCCGGCGCGGGGGCAGAAGGTGACGGAGTAGGCGGCGGACCCGGCGCAGGTGAAGGTGGAGGTGGCGTCGTCGTAGGCGTAGCTGTAGGCGCGCGGGCAGGCCGCCTTGAAGGCCTGCGAGTAGGCGGACGGGCGGCAGGTGTCCGGCCCGCCGAACGCGCCGCTGCAGCAGTACTCCGGCCGGTCGAACGCCTCGCACGCGCTCCGGCACCCCTCCGCGGCCCGGAGCTCCGGCGGGCACCGCTCGTTGAGGTCCACGAGGCACCCCGTGGCCGGGCACCCCGCCGCGGACGGCTCCACGACGACCGGCACGTTGTACCCGTCCACCAGGCTCACGTCGTAGTAGTCCTCCTTGCCGCCGCCGCCGAGGGTGAACTCCACGAGCGTGGCGGGGGGCGTCGCGCCGGAGCCGTGGCACTCCGCCTCGCCGCTGCCGCAGTCGCCCGTCGCGCACTTGCCGCCCGAGGTGCCGTCGAAGGCGCACCCCGTGCGCGCCCAGAACCGTCCCGACCACCCCGCCGGCGCCGCCAGCGACCGCGCCTCCCCGGGGCCCAGCGCGAACCCCGTCGTCTCCAGCGGCGCCCTTCCCGAGTTGGCCAGCACCCCCGGCCACACCGTGCCGCCGCAGCGGTTCGTGAAGGTGAACGTCACGCCGGCTGCCGCCACCAGCCCTGCACGCACGCACCATCGATCCATCAATAAGCATAGCTTCCACTCACAAAAGACATACGCACACACCCACAACAACAAAATGTAATTCGCCATTGCCGGTCACACGAATGATACCTTGAAGGAACGACGCGATGACGAACAGGAGGAGACCGGCGATCGAGGAAGAGGAAGACGGAGAGACGAAAGAAGCCATCGCATGCACGTACACGCCGGCCGGTTTATCTGACCGGAACCGAATGCAGAGGCGATCAATTATGGCAAGGCCGACGCCCGAAATGGCCTGTGGAACGGCGGTTTGGCTTAGCTATATACGGCAAGTAGGGTGGTTAGGGGGAGGAGTCCACGACCACACTCTGTCTGAGCAAAGCAGAGTGGGATCTACTAGGGCTAGGCTTTGGTCTTGGCAGCTTGTGCAGCTGTGCAGTACGTGCAGGAGGATCACTCTCGCTCTCTCGCACATGCCGTTTTATACTAGCTTGCGGTGACGTCAGCGGCCTTTTTCATTTCATCGTGGTTGGTTCTTCTTTTTCCTTGGTCGCAAAGGCAAGCGCCAAGCGATGATACGGATAATGTTGAGGGTATTGCTACTTTCACCCTCCTCTTCTTTTTTATTACTCATTTCATTGCTTTTAGGAAGAAGATAAATTCTTCTTCGCTTTTTTTTACTTATATATACTGCCGTTGCATTTAGGGAGGAAGATAAAGTTCGTCAAAAGATGGCTCCATGGTCTTTTCGCTTGCGGTTTTACTGATCGTGATCGAGGTAACTGAGATTTTCTTAGGTCTAAGTCAGATTCCGAGATGTGCATATTATGAAAAGTGCACTATTCACTAAATTGAAATCGACTTTCCTTTGGTTCTCAAAAAAAAAGAAAAGAAATCGACCTTCCTGTGGAGCTGACTTGGATATCAACGGACCCTTTTTGCTGTAGAGTTGCACCTCGCTCAATTTAGAGGTCAGGGGCATTCCCTCCTTCTCATTATTGTTTGTGTATATGTGTCTTCAACACCAAGAGCATATAGCTTTTCTTGAAATTTAGGTCAAGAAAAATAACAATCTAAGTTCATGTCCCCGATGTAGTCGTTGTTTCTCGTGTATCAAAACAACGAATGATCTATAGATCTAAGAGTCGTGCATTTCAGCATGAGCGGCGAGAGGAGACATAGAGTAGGAATATGGGAGAGTGGTGAGAGAAAGGAGGGATGAGAGTTAGGGTGGCTGCATGGCCATTTGGATAATTTAGCAATGGCGGAAAAGCCTAGTATGGGCATCTGCATCCCAACTAGACTTCACCACCAGCGGCAACGGTTTCGGGCCTAGAAAGGCAGAGTGGGATCTACTAGGGTTAGTCAGGATAGGCGTTGAGATAGTCTTGATAGCTTGTGCAGTACGTGTAGGCTCACACTTGCTCTCGCGCACACATGCCGTTTTATACTAGCTCACGGTGACATCAGCAACAGCCTTTCATCTTGGTTGGTTCATCTTTTCCTTGCCCATGCAAGCGAGCTATGATACGGATAATTTTGGGGGCATTGACACTTTCACCTTCTTCCCTTTTTATTACTTATTACATTGCTTTTTGGAAGAAGATAAATTTATCTTCGCATTTTTTACTTGTATACTGCCATTGCTTTCAGGAAGAAGATAAAGTTCGTCAAAAGAGATAGAGACATGATACATGGGGAATTGACATGCTATGTGCGAAAGGGGGCAGCAAAGCATGGTAGAAAAGACGACTCCACGGTGGATCTTTTTGCTAACGGTTTTATTGATCGTGAGTTTACCGAGATTTCCTTACATCTAAGTCAGGCTCCGAGATGTGCATATTATGAAAAGTGCACTATTCACTATATTGTAATCGACTTGGATATCGATGGACCCTTTTTGCTTGTCATGTTTTCGTGTCGGTAGAGTTGTGTGCCTCACTCGATGTAGAGGTCAGGGGCATTCCCTCCTTTTTATTGTTTTATATGTGTCGTTGTACACGACAAAGGCTATCCCTGAGCGTATAGTTTTCATTGAAATGTAGCTTGAAGGAAAATAACCAAGTTCATGTGCCCTAGGTGGCTGTTGTTTCCCGTGTATCAGAATAGCGAATAATCTATCGATCAAAGAGTTGTGAGTTTGAGGATGAGCAGCGACAGGGAGATTTAAAGTAGGAAGATGGGACCATTAGGAGAGAAATGAGGAAGGAGGAGAGTAGGGGGTGGTTAGCATGGCCATTCGGGTAGTGCAAAACCTAATATGGACTTCTACATCCCAACTAGGCTTCATTGCCAGCGGCGACAACTTGAAATATGGTTGTGGCACCAAGGAGCACTAGAATGTAGGCGAGGGGGGTGGGGGCGAAGACCGTGTGTACTCTTTTCGCGGTGGGACTAGCTAGTCATGCCCTAAAGCAATTCTAAAAAACTATCTTGTAAAAACAACATTTTTTTGCCAAGTCTAATAAACTTAATCTTCTTGCATCGTCACCTGATTTTGAACTTGGTTTGTTCTTGTATATATCGGGAAAAGTGCAAGTTTGTTGCCATGTATGTACAATCTCTGCATTTTTTTAGAAAAGGAGGATGACCCCCGGCCTCTGCATCTGGGAGATGCATACGGCCACTTTATTGATTATTCTCGAGGACCGTACAAAGTGTTACAACAATGTGTCTGAATCCATCATCTTGGCAACATATGCCGCTACTCCTATCCAAAATGATTAGGGGGTGCTAGCTGGGCCACTACCCAAACCACTCACCTAAGCCTAACATCAAAAACCGGAAGCCGAAACTCATTCGGAAGCCCAGCCGAGCCACATACCGGGTCTGGGGCACAATCCGGTCAGACGCACTCGTGTGTCGTCGCCGCCATCTTCCACAGGTCCGTCTTTAGATCATATTGAGGCTTCTACCTTGTCTGGCCACTCTGCCATCGACGTCACCATGACGCCAGACAGCTTCCTCCTCCTGCACGAGTCCATCTCCGCAAATCAGACGCCGAGTCTCCACAACACCATGCCGCTGAGATCCGCCACCATCAATGTGAAAGATGAAACACCGCTCCACCAAAGTCGCCGTCCTCTAGTCCCTCGAGCCGTGTGCACCTCCAAGAATGACGCCCCCAGGGGGGAAACGACACCAGAGAGCCGCCGTCATCCGATCTACTGATCTAGGGTTTCCCCCGGAGGTAGCAGAGAGTGGCCTTGAACTTCTCCACGACGATGCCTTCAGGAAGGGAACGATGCAGACAGCGTCGCCATCGCCGGCCTAGGCAATAGCCAATAGCAGGTTTTCACCCAGATCTGATCGAAGACCTCCATCTCTCCTACATGGGTCGCCGTCCGAGAAAGCCGCCGACGAGCAGACGCCAGAGCATTCCCGCCGCCGCTGCGCGCAGACCGGCCGACCACGTGGTTGCAGCCACGCCGCTGCAATCCACATCTATGCAGAGCCCACGAGGACCTGCGCCGCCACCCCGCGACGCCCGCTACCGCCAGGGACCAAATCCGCGCGGATCTAGCCGGAGGCGTGCCGGCCCGCCACCGCCCGATCTGACCCGCCGCAGCCGCCGCGCCGCGGCCGCCCACCAGGTCGCCGCCAAGGCAGGCCACCCCGACGGAGCGCCGCCGCGCCGCTAACCCCCGCCATAGGCTAGCGCCCCTGCTCGGGAAGCCGTCCCGCGCCGGCCATGACCATGGGCGGAGGGGAAAGGAAGGCCCCGCTGCCGCCCCGGCCGGCCTGGCTTCGCCCGGCGGCGCCACCGGGCGGCGGCGAGGGAGGTGGGCAGAGGAGGGAGGAGAGAGGCGGCGGCCGGGATGGATTCCCCTCGGGGCGCCCACGGGAGCGCCGCGAGAGGATGCGATTATCATTGCAATTCTATTCAAGTTGTGATAAATCATGTATGTTCATTTTATAGCCTTGTTTCTTTTGGGGTATCACAATACAAGAGTTCTACTATTTTTCATATATAGTGCAGAGTTCCATTTCTTTCTTTTTACGTTTTCTCTCTTGTTCTTCTTGCTTTGTGCGTTCACATTTGAGGTTCAAAGACCAAGCCAACACACAAGACCTAGTACAAAATAACAATTCTTCACAAGATATCAGTGCACTGATTGTCGACGTGCAAAGCACCAAAACTGAAAATCCAGTTAACGTTTTTTTGAGCTGAAAATTCAGTTAATCTCCGATGAATTCAGACGGAGAACAGATCGACGAGTACCGGCCGGCCGGTCCGGCGATGGATGGATCCTTCGGGCGGAAGCAAATATGAAATGAGAGGCAGGAAACGACGTATCCACGAGCCGAGCGCACCGTCGGCGAACGAGCGAGCCTGCGCGGGGGCAGACCGATCGATGCATGCATGCCGTGTAAAGCGCATCGATCGGATAAGAAAGAGATCCTTTCCATTCCATCGCCTGGCAGGGCGCTTTTGAAGCCTTTTCCGTCGTCGTCGTCGTCTTCTCGGCCATGCCACAGGGTGAGAGAAAGAGAAAGGCGGTCCGCGACCGCGCGCTCGTCACCCTCCACCCTTCTCGCGCCGCATTGGCATGCAGTGCAGTGGCCAGCGGCAAAGGTGATGGACTCCCCCCCTGCATGGCATTATTTTGGCCTCCTTGCTAGTAGCAACCAACTATCTAGCGACCGATGGATCCTCTTTTGGCATAGTTCCATGTCCCCTCGGACCATGATCTCTACTGTCAAGTGTCAACATACACCTTTGCTTGTCGAGGAGGAGAAACTAATGGCAAATTTGACGGTAGGAGCTCCTTCGAATTGACCCAGAGATGCCATTTTAGCCTCTTGAGTACACTAACACCTTTGACCTTTGCTTGTCGAGGAGTACTTATTACTAGCGTCAAATCGACGGTGCGGATCGCTCTCGCAGGTGCACGCACGGGCCAGCTAGGCGACGGGCGAGGGGTCACGTCAATGCCACGTCGAGCCGACGGCGAGGCAGGCCAAGTTGCGCGGCCAAAAGAAAGCCAAGTTGCACCTCTAAAGAAGGCAATGGGGGCACACATGAATATGCACGGACGGACCAGGCAAAAAGATGGCAAGATACGGGGAGCCGCCAATCCGCCATGCATGCATGGGGCGGGGACGCAAAGCGATCCGATGCGCCTGCCATGCCGGCGCACTGGTCGGCAGCCGCTTTGCCTTGCCTTGCCTTTGCGTCGCGCCCTTGACCCGCCACCGGCCGCGTTGGCCGAGACCGGCCGTTGGTTCCGGCTCCGGCTGGGCCGGGTGACTGGCTGCCGTGCCGGTGGGGTCGGCGATGCCAGGATATCATATCACCATGATTTAATTTTCGTTATCTGCCCCTCTTCTTTTTGCTTTGCTACTGGCCTGGTAGAGTGGAGTGGAGTGGAGTGGATGCTAGTAATCCCAACGGACCCCTCGGGTACGTAGACCTACCTGAGTGTCTGAGAGCTGCCTCCTTTTATCTCCTGCTTTTGCTCATCTGGGATTCGATCGATCGTCAATGGAGCACTTCTTTTACTATTTATAGCTTTCTCGACTAGTGCTGCTTGGTTGATCATAGCATTCCCAGGATTTCAGTACCTAGGCGCCATTGCTTGGTTGCTCATACTAGGAATTTTCCCCGTTCCAGTGACCCACAAACTTGCCTATTACCCATACCATACCCACCGGCCACCGCGGGGTTTTGTTCCCCGGGGTAATACCCGCATGTCAAAAAATACCCACAATTTATAGCACCAACCATGAACAACAGGAATCCACATATATAATTACCAAATCAACAACGCGTCATCAAAAAATCATAACATTCTACTGACACGCGCCTAAGAACACAACTATGCTCTAATAGCCAATAGTTCAGTAACATAATGGAAGAACACACATTCACAATTAGTGCACCACAAAATAACATCACATACTAAGCAACAAGAGACGAATATGAGGTCCCCAGAAATCAGGATCGACGACTCCGGTCTCAATCTCAGGATCGACGTTGGCCATGGTCACAGCGCCGACCTCTACCTCACCAGATCCTCTCTTCCCCTCGCCATCCCAATCGCCGATCAGTAGTGGCGGCTGTGCGTGCGAGGCGATGCGTTGCGACCCTGCTGCCGCAAGCGAGGCGAGCGGCGCGGGCCCGGTTCTAACGATGGTGCTAGCACAACAACAACGGCTACACGCAAAGTGCTGCCTCATTGCCGTCTTGCTTGCCCAGGAGATGGCGGCTGGTCGCGTCACTCAACCCATGCTAGATGGACTTCGATGGTCCCATGTCCTCGGGGCACGTCTCTCGTGGGTGTGGCATGTGGATGGCACGGTTGCACAGCGACGGCTGGCGCGCGGCCTGATGTGGTGGTATGAGTTATTTGGGTGTCCTCCCCGAGGTTACATGCGATGCAGCGGTGGTGTTGGCCATCGCGAACTCAACCCATGCCCAATGGAGCTCGATGGCCCCATGTTCTCGGGGCACGTCTATCGTGGGTGCGTCATGTGGAAGGCACATCTGCACGACGATGGTTGGCGGCCTGATGTGGTGGTATGAGTTGTTTGGGTGTCCTCCCCGAGGTTACGTGCAATGCAGCGGTGGTGTTGGTTGTCGCAACAACCTTCAAGGTCTTCTAATCCACCATGGA